TAGCAGGCGTGGGTCCACCCATACCCAAGGGGCCATGAAGTCAGCTAGCTGGTAACGGACCAGGGCAGGTTGGGAGGCCATGGGGAAGGAAAACAGTTTCTATCTTTGTACGTTTCAGAGCAATTTTTCTTTACATTTTTAGTAAGAGGCTGCATATTCATTTTGCACTGACCCAACAAGTGACGCAGTTGTCCTGGTAGAGCTATAATGAGATCAAGCATGTAAAAAGTGGTACAAATACTCCCTGAAGAGTGACCAGCATGAATGTTTTTGTTGTTTATGTGGCTGAAGGTATGAAGAGGCCACAGGAACTGAACCGGGCCAGGATGTGCGACTGATGTTGAAACAGCGGAATTTGTGTTTTAGTCTCAATTCTTGGACCCACGACTTCTTGAATTCTTCAAGCAGATGTGTTTAAATATGCAAACAGGATGGACTCTGCCTGTGAGGGGGACTTCCCCTCAAAAAAGGAGCCACCGCCTATTCCAAGGCATAGCTGCCCAGACCTCAAGCAATGTGTTTTGAAGAGGCTGGAACAGTCATTAAAAAGCTGTGATTTTTAGGACTGGATCCCCTCCCTGGGGGTTGCTGACAGAGGCGCCCAAGGCCAGTCCCCTTTCAAGGGGCTCAGATGCCCTCTATCCCTCTTCTCCACATCCCATGTCCCTTTACTCCCCCCTTGCCCACCCCATGCCTAACCCTATTGCCCTGTCCAGACTTCATCCCTCTCTCAAATTTATCAGAGCATCCTCCTTTGGCTTCACCCCTTCCATTTTCCATCTGGAGAGTTCTTTCTAGAAGTCCTGTGGGCCCCTCCCATCTGCCCCACTCCCAGCAGGCCTGGCAGGAGTTGTGAACCTGGTTGAGAGCAGACTGTTGACTGTCAGGAATCCAAAATACCTAACCTAGGGGTCCTCTTTCCAGGACCAACAGTAGTCATATAAAAGCAGGGTACTCCCCACGGGGATTACAACTAAGATGAAAAAATGCACAAAATGATATAAAAATAAACTATTATATATATATATATATATATATATATATATATATATATATATATATATATAAAGCTTCCTGTAGACCCTCCCTGGTGGCACAGCACTAAGAAGCTAAAGCCACATCAGCATGAGTTCAATCCCTGCCCCGGAGGTGACCCACATGGCGTGGCAGACCTCTCCTGACCCACCCGCTGCTCCTCTCAGCAGTGTATTTCATCAGTCGGCCTGTTCTGCTCCTCACTCTGTCTCTGGTGAATCTTCACACAGCCCCTGCACCTCTGGCCTGTACCCCAGCTCTGTATGCACAATTAACCTTCTAAAAAACTTAAAAAAAAAAAAAAAAGAAAAAAGCATGGTACTCATTTTTAACCATTGAGACAGGAGGGGTTTTTTTGGGAGCCTGGGGCAGAAATGAGATACAAAGATTCTGTTCTCTTTCAATAGATGTGACTATGTCTGTACCTGTAGACTAGACATACTGCAGCCTGACAGGGACAGAAATGAAGGCAAATCACAGAGATAGGGCCCTAGTGTACCCCACCTTCAGGCCATCCCACCTTCAAACCCCTTGTGTGGGGTCTTCCTCCACATTGCTCCTCTTGTTCCTTCATGCAGAGTCATCTCCTATGGGTGCCAATAGTGTAACAGGGGCTGAAGCTAAAGCCTTTCATAAGTGGTGCCCCCTGAGAGGGGTTCTGGTGAGGATGGAGAGCCCCAGCGAAAATGCGAACAACAACGTGTCAGTGTGGGTGGAGACTCTGATAAGAGATATAAAGGTGACACTGATAAGAGATATAAAGGACTGCAGAAGAAGTTCCCAGGATTCTGTCTTCACAATTCAATGTCCGTTCCTCATCTGCATTTCAGCATTTTCTGATCTTCAGTGACTCTGGGGCCACTAATTTTGGCCCCACCATGCTGATCTTCCAGAAGGCTGGTGCGGGCCTCTGAAGGACGTGGAGGAGACTCCAGTAGCCTATCTCTGAGAGGAAAATTTTGGAGGCTTTGTAAGAAGCCGAGCAACTAAAACTGTTTCCGGTTTGCTGTCATTACAGTCTGGCAGGGAAGGGGAGGACCTGCAGCCAGACACCTTGCTGAGCTGTGTGAGTGTGGCCATTTGTCTGGCCGTTTGACTGAGCTAGCTGCTGTTTTGAGTGTTGCCCATCTGGTGCTGCACTGGGCATCTCAGCAGGTCTGCGAGCATCTCCTGATGTATCTTCTGCTGTCTTCATGAGCTGGATCCTGGTCTGTAGTCGGGCTGCCACGAGCTACAGGCCTCAGTGGTGGGAAGACACCATCTTGAAAGCCTTTGTGTTTAGGACTTCAAAATACTGGATACTGCTTTGGGTGAGGTTAATGGACATTTGTGGCCTCACTGACTCTTTATTTTCTCTGGTTTGTTAAATAAATCCCATTGTTATTGTTGTCTGAACTTGAATTGTCTTCCAATTGTGTACACAGATGAAGAACTCAGGTGGTAGACTGTTTGGGCACTGTCCTTGGCCAGATTTAGTGCCCCTTGCTGTCCTGGCCTGTATCAATAACATCCAACATAGTGACATCCTATACGGGGCTGTTCTCACCCATGGCACCACCAGCTCAGTGGCACTCCTGGACCCAGAGTCCCCAGCTCTTGATTGAACAAGAGGTGCTAGAGGCAAAACTGGAGCGAAGAAGCAGGAAGTGTACCCTAAGTAAGGGCTAGAAAATGCCTAAGAGTTGAAGAGATGTAGCCCAGATGGCTACCTGTTATCCTGGGTGAGCCATTGTTAGTTTGCTTGCCTGTGAAGTGTGGGCAATGAGATCCTTTACCCTACAGATGTGGTAAGGATGGAGAGCGCTGGTAGCCCAGTAAAAAACTTACCAGTGCCCCTGGATCTTACAAGTGCTCCAAAGTGAGCTGGCCATCCTGTTGAGCCCACTGTGGGAGCTGCCAGGAACCCGGAGCAGGAGGGGAGCAGGTAGACTCCTCTGTAGTGGAGAGTCTCTTTAGAGGGTCTTCATCACTTCCTTCCCCAGCTACTCCATCCCATGGCACCTGTCTAGGTTGCGGGAGCAGGACCAGTGCAATTCAGGAAGGAGGTTCTGTGTGGGGCAGTCTTGAGGGGTGGGAGGATTTGCTCTGGAAAAAAAGACTGAGGAGGGTCCTCTCTGATGGTGCAATGGGTTAAATCATCACACTATGAATCTCTCCAAAGGCACTGCAGTACGAGTTCAATACCTGGCCAGGGAGCTGACCCACATGGCATGGCAGACCTCT